AATATTAATTAAAGTTAGCACAGACTTACCTTAGCAATTTTTAAAAATCGTTAGAATTTACTAAATTAAATACTCGCAAACAATTGTCTCCTTAAAGTATTTTGCACCTGGTGCCATCATTAATCATGTGCAATTGTAAATTAATAGTTGTGGCTGTTGTATGTATTCTGTAGTTAGCATACAACTGTTGTTGGATAGACCTGATCTTGATTGCTGTTGCAACAGTCTGTTATGTTAATGTGCATCACTCATTTCATTTTCCCGTTTCTGTACGAAACAATATAAAATACAGTAATATTCATTGATACTAGTTTAATGTATTAATTGTAAAGGTACTCCACAAAGAAGTGTATCTGAGACAGGAAGCACTGGTTCTCCACAGGAAGCCAAAAGTCGTAGTATGTTGTTAAACTGTACATTCAAATATTTTTTATTAATTATTTACCACATCCATAGGCAAGGAGCTTACCTTAAAAACAGTCATGAAGATATTTCATTCTTCTGCTCACCATTACAGACTGATAGGGTTTGGATTGGGGGTAAGAGTGGCTGATCTGAAGGCAACAGATGAAGCAATCGATAATCTTATTAAAGTATTTGAGAGGTGGTTTGATGCCAATAAAGATGTCAGTTGGGATACTTTAAAAGAACTTTGTGAAGAAGACTATCCTGATGAACTGGGCCAAGCAAAGGCTAAGCTAAATAAAGCACTTGGTATACAAGTAGGTATGTACATTATGTATATTAAATGATTCAGTGCTCATTACAAAGTTGCAAGAGTTTTTTTGCTAATTATTCTTAAATTTAGGTGGAGCGACTATAATGTTTTATATGCATTCTTCAAGTAATAAATAGTTTTTCTTTTTTTGTAGGAGAGAATACAAGTAATATTGATGATCTAATAGAACCAGGTATTACTCATGCATTAACTCTTTACTGGCTAATACCGTATAGCGGAAAATTTTTGTGGCCCAAAATTTTGTGGATTTCGCGTTTTTTCAAAATCCACAAAAATAAAATCCGCGAAAATTGATTTAATATGGTTCAAGATGGCCGAAAAGTAGAAAACCACAAAAATTAAAGCCACGAAATTGATTTTTGAATGGATCCCAAAATTTTTGGGCCATGAAAATTTTTTGCTATATGGCACTGCTATGTGGCTGTCATGCGTGGGCGTTGCAATTGACTAGCAATGCCGAGCGACGTCTTGGAGTCTGGAATACTTTGATGCCTTAAGATTACCAAGTGATGATTATAGCT